CACCAGCGCCCAACGGGGGAAACATCTGTTTCCATTCACCAAAGACCTACACACCTCGATCCGGCAGGAAGAGCAAAGAGCAGAGATGGGCGAGGGCAGCAGGGAAGGACGCATGAGAAGGTGACACTCAAGCCAAGACCAGAGGACGCTGAGTCAGACCTACCAGGGAGGAGGCACGCACCCCAGGCAGAGGGGAGACCTTGCCCCGCTTTCCAAGGCGCTGGACGCGTTGCAGGAACTGGAGGATGGATGTGCCTGAGTGCAACGCAGCCAAGACCATGTGCGGGATGAGTTTGAAGAGGCAGCCGGATCATAAGAACTTGGGAGCGATGTTGGCGGAGGAGAAACACAGTGATGTGCGTCCCACAAGGGCACCCTCGGCTCCCAGGGGGAGCGCAGGCGGGCAGGGAGGGGAGAGAGAAACCCACAGAGCCTCCGGGGCCTGGAGATTCCAGCGGGGAGTGCGGGAAAGGGCCGCGCGGGGCGTGTTCAGAAGGTAGAGGGAAGCAGCTGCGGCAGGTGGAGCTGCTGGGAGAGGCGGGAGTGAGGGGTGAGGGAAGATGGCGAAGTCCTAGGGCCCAGCCGTGGGCAAACTACGGCCCGTGGGCCGGATCCGGCCCGTTTGAAATGAATAAAACTAAAAAAAAAAAAAGACCGTACCCTTTTATGTAATGATGTTTACTTTGAATTTATATTAGTTCACACAAACACTCCATCCATGCTTTTGTTCCGGCCCTCCGGCCCAGTTTAAGAACCCATTGTGGCCCTCGAGTCAAAAAGTTTGCCCACCCCTGACCTAGGCAAAGGTGAGGAAGACCCTGGAGAACAGGGTGGGGGTTGGGAGAAAGAAGTCTTCCCTCCTCCACTGCAAGGGCCTCTTAGTCAGAAGGATAACTCAGCTCTCCACCTGCTACGCCTTCCCACAGCGGGTGTGTGTGTGTGGGGTGGCGGGGGGGAGGGGGGCCTCAGGACGCTGCTGCCGGGCCTAAGCGAGGCCCAGGGCTGGTACAGGGCGTGTCTGGGGCAGCGGCAATAGGCTTGCAAGTGCAGCTAGGGCTTATCTTGATGCTGCGCTTTATAAATATTCACTTTTTTTCACTCAGATTGTGTTTGCTCAGGCGATGGGGTGGGCTCCAGATCCTGAGAGGGAGGGCTGGAGACGCCCAGCGCCGCCCCCTGGTGGTGTCCCTCATTGAGAAATGAGGGACCAGAGATAGTGCTCGGATCGCAAGTGTTTCTTTTTGGTGTACATTTGCCCCGTTGTTTCACGCGTGGGTTATCTTCCCCAATGCGGTGTTAGTTGCGGTTCTCAACCTGTGGGTCGCGACCCTTTCGCAAGGGGTCGCCTAAGACCATCGGAAAACACATCTATAATTACATATTGTTTTTGTGATGAATCACTATGCTTTAATTATGTTCAATTTGTAACAATGAAATTGGGGATCACCACAACATGAGGAACTGTATTAAAGGGTCACGGCATTAGGAAGGTTGAGAACCACTGCTTTAGGTCTATTTGGAAGCCACTGCAGGTTTGAGAATGTGTGTATTCTTCCCAAACCTTGATCTATACCAGAAACTTGAAATCCAAGATCTATAATTCACTTTAATGTCATTGTTCCCACCTGGGCTTGAGTTGCCCCATCTGTAAAATGGGTACAACAGACAAAACCTTCTCTTTGGAGCTTTCCTGGTCTCATGCTTTGTTTTAAAATGGGCAAGGGGGCTGAGCCCGGAAGTCCTGGTTAAGAACAGGACTTGCAGGACAAGGACCTTGTGTCCCTGGGACAGAGTCTGGTAGTTAGGAAGGAATCCGTGAGTGTTGGTTAGAATCCATGCTGGCTACGGCAGAAGCATCAAGGCTACCAAGAGTTGGATATACGGCAGCCTCTGCGAGCCTCCTCACCTTCAGCTCATGGCTGTCAAATTCACTTCGCTTTTGGCCTCGGCCAGGGCTCCATGCCTTCAGAGAAATTTCCCCAGCGCCTTTCCCTCCAGCTCCGTGGCGGGGATGCCGCCCCCATTCTGCACGCACGCACAGCTCACTTAATGGGCACAGAGGAATGGGAGAAAGCTCGGGAAAAGAAACAAAAATTACAACCCGATCCAGCCTAAACCTTATTTTTATTGACTTCAGAGAAGAAGGGAGGAGAGAGAGATAAAAACATCAGTGATAAGAGAGAATCATGGATCGGCGGCCTCCTGCACGCCCCACCCTGGGGATCTAGCTCAAAACCCAGGCCTGTGCCCTTGACTGGAATTGAATCCGGGACCCTTCAGTCTGCAGGCCAATGCTCTATCCACTGAGCCCACACTGGCCAGGGCATCTTGTTCTTTTAAATAGTTAATAGCAGCGAGTGATTTAGTATTTATCCAAAATGGTGTTTATTAGACTGTGAAAGAATTTCCTAAGGTAATTGGTGTTTGAATTATTTAAGATTTAAATTGATATAAGTATTAGTATTTAAGAATATGTAGAAAGAAATACATTTATTCACCAAGCATAGATTACTGAAATATTTTCCACCTCAAAGTGTATAATTCACATGTGACACATTTCTGACGTAGTTTTACAAAGCCTTCCGGATCTACCTCCTGTTGGCTTTTCCAGCCTCCTCTCCCTCTCTCTCTCTCTCTCTCTCTCTCTCTCTCTCTCTCTCTCTCTCTCTCCCCCCCCCAGTCCTCTTAGCTGCAGCTTTACAACTCTCCCTCCTCTGAGCCTCAAGCCCACCCCCTCCAGGCTCAGGCCTCTGCCTGGAACTCCTCGCCCTCTGCCTGTCCTTCTGCCGGTATTACCTCCTGCTGTAGGCTGCCCCACCCGCTTAGATCCCAGGTGGCTTCACTGGTTCTTGGGGAGCGTGTGCCCAGTTTTCCTGGGACAGCCCCACCACCCTCCACCGTCAGGCCCCCAGCCCCCAGAACAGTGTCTGGAACACGAGGTGCTGTGAGCGCTGCGCCTAAAGACAGTGAGCACTGCGGAACTGGAAATGTACGCATTGAGCCATGACATAACGCGGAAGAAATAAAGTCCCCGTTTTTCAACTAAGAAATAAATACATAAGAAATTAAGTCCCTCCCATTCATTTCTCCTCTAGACAGAGAACCGACACAGCCCGCCATCCGTTTGACAGGAGACAAACACTTGAGTCTGTGTGTTCGTCTTCTCTCAATAGCTCCGTGAAATGTCGAGGCCGGCACATGGCAGGACACTGGGTCAAATCACTGCAGCAGCTGTAACTCCCAACTGTAACCTTCCTCCTTGGCAAATGAGTTTAAAAGCAAGTTTTAAAAATCTTGTTGGAAACTAATGACCTGAAGAAAATGCCAGCATTTCTCCCAGGGAACGGGTTTGGTCTAA